GAGAGAGAGAGAGAGAGAGAGAGAGAGAGAGAGAGAGAGAGAGAGAGTGCGAGAGAGAGAGAGAGAGAGAGAGAGAGAGAGAAACATGTCAAGTCTGTGTGCGCAAACACAATGACATTGTTGTAGAAGTGTCCTACGTCAAAGCAACAGAGATTTATTATTTTATATATTATTTATGTATTTGACATATTTATGAATAACAGTAACACAATATTGTAAATCTGAAACAGTCTGGATCCTCTCCCCCTCTACAAAGAGATCAGGTCAACTTTCATTTGTATTCATATAAAAGTAGATGCAAGCGGTTTTGCGTGTGTCAGGCAAGATTCTCAATTTCTATTGCTGAAGTTAATTTGGCTGCCACTCCATGTCCGTCTTTAACATGCACAGAAATCACAGTGTCATCCGCCAACAATTTCTTCAAAGCCACCAGCATTACCTCAGCTTCAGCCCAAGTCATCGGTCTTGGAATGTAGCGGAAACAGCGACCGCTGCGCTCAGTCCAACCGTAGGAACAATACACTCCTCTCTTCACCAGATCGCTCTTTGCTGAGAAAAATAGAGTTTGGTGGATAATGTGGAGTTCAGTGAAAGTCTCTTCATGTAGAATATTTATATTAAATCCATTTATTTTGATGGTACATAGATGCTAAAACATGATATAACAATATATATACAGTATATATGTATATAGATATAATATATATAATATATTGTGAAGCAATGCACAACAAAGTAACATGAGTGTAACATAACACAACGTAATTTAACACATTATAAGACAACATAAGATAATATAACTTAAAATAACATAATGTAACTAATGCAATTGTTTTATTTCATTGTGTTATTCTATGTAATATTAAAATAGAGAATCAAACAATAACAAAATAATAACTGTGTTGGTGAAGCATCTCAGCAATCTATTGAAGTGAAAATCTAAAAGCTACTCACCTGTTTGGTTGTTTTCCGGCTTTCCCTCTGGAAGAGCTAGACAGTTTGACATTGCAGTTATTGATCTGGATTATTGCTGTTCAGTGACAATAAATTAATCTGTAACAGTTTCTATGTATAATACTCACCAGCAGCTCGAGTCAGAGCAATCATGGCACAAACAAGTGCAGACACAGTCAGCGTCTTCATGGCGAAGGCAATGAGATGATGCAGATGCTGAAGATGAAGACAACAAAGACAGATAGATTACTTATAGGTCTGTAGAGAACAATGAAACACAGTGACTGTCAGAACAATGAAGTCAAAAGATGATGAGAAAGTTTGCAACAAACCTGATACTGATTTCTGTAGCTTCAGCCGTCCTGTGATGAGGTGCAGAACAAGAGGAAGACATAAATAAAGCCCCTTATCTTACCATCTCTCACAAAGACGGAACTGAGGACAGATGTGGGACTGTTGTCATACACAGAACAACATTTCTTAATTATTCACATACAGAGAAATGGAGAAGTTGCTATGCTGGCCGGCACATCGCAGATAAACAAAACACGAGCAAATTAAGAAAAAATCTTCACCAATTTCACAACACATGGTCAAACTGGAGGAGTGTTGCAACACACAGATAGACAGATAGACACTTTATTGTCCCCATGGGAAACATGTGGGCATCCATGACATGCAAACAAAATAAAATAAACGGCAAAGAATAAAGCTGTACAATGACACACACACACACCTTGAGGCATCAATGGTTTGTAGCCTTTTTGCCGATGACTTTCACCGCAGTCTGAATCAAATCTGATAACTCTGACTCATATATGTGGTCATTCCATATCTGATTACACTCTCCACAACACCCTGACTGAACTCAAACTTACCCAGTCTACATGCATCCTCCAGTACTATCAATGTGGACAACAAGATACTTAGAGGACAGGACTTGTGTACATGGCTGGTAATGTATAACCACTGGACTGCGATCACAAACTTCTTTGGGATCAAAAATATTCTCATGTTTTGTTGTACGTTTAAAATGAGGTGAGTTTGTTGCACCAGTCAACAAACTCCTTTACATCTGGAAGACACATGTTTGTATCATCAGGCCGACAGAGCAAACTTAGCACAGCAGAACCATAGAAGTTTGATATCATAACTGAATCTTCAGATACTTTATAAAAAGACATCTTTTCATACAGTCATCGTTGTTTCACGTCGCAGTTAAATGAGGAGAAGTTTGTACTGAGAAACCTTGAAGCACCCAAAGCTGTTACAGTGTGACGGTGATGGAGATAAAATGATAACTCTGATGAAATCATACCTCAACTTCTCTGTTGAAGTTATTTTCAGAATCTTCTACTTCTTTGAAAGGCTCTGTGGCAGTGAGATACCAAGCTGTTGGTTAATCGATAGACATCTGCAAGTCATGTTGTAGAACACACAGCAACAGTAGTTCACATCGAAGGCTTCTTTTTAGCTCTCTGGATACTTTGTTGAAGACAAAATCAAGCATGCTGATGATTTAAACTAAATATTTTTCACTATGAACCATTGATATGCAGCAACGTATTCCTGAGGTCTTGTTGCTGCAGTGAGCTTGTCAGGTTCGGTGCCATCACGCCTGAGAACAAAACAACGTGCTCAACATCCATATTTGGAAGCGTGCAGAAATGTTGCACAGACGTACTCAACTTAACAGACAATAGACTTTTGCATGACTAAAAGTATAACAAGAAATCTAATTAATAGTCTTATGATAGTAATTTAACTTGACTGTTGGGGCCTTTCTCTGGACATATGCATCACAGAGGATAAAAGAATGTATTGCAGGAAAACACAAAAGTATTGTAAAGGATCACTTAAGTAGTTGCAATAAACAACGGTGATCTTTAGTGGCTCTGTACTTAGTTTTATTTCTGACTTACCTGGTATGACATTTTCAGAAAACAAAACCAAAACTT